CCACTATAGCATATATAAAGACAGCCTTCGTGCTTTCAATGTGGAACTAGGCAAAGCTAGACAGTCATTCTTCTCAAACCTTATAAACAGTAACTTAAACAACACTCTTTTTGCTACTGTTGAGAGACTGACAAACCCCCCCAAGTCAGATATGCCGCCCGCAGTTGGAATCAGCTTCCAGAAGAGATTAGATGTGCTAAAACATTAGTCACATTTAAATGCAGGCTCAAAACTCATCTGTTTAGCTGTGCATTCATTGAATGAGCACTGTGCGATGTCCGAACTGATTGCACTATATTATATGTATAATCGTTTTCTTAAATTCATTTTAAACCTCTTAAATCTATTTTTTTAATCATTTTCAACGTTTTTAAATTCCTTGTTTTATTGTTGTGATTATTTTTTTCTTTTCTTTTATGTAAAGCACTTTGAATTACCATTGTGTATGAAATGTGCTATATAAATAAACTTGCCTAGATTTAGGGGGCAATTACTTTTTCACGTAGGGCCAGGCAGGTTTGGACAGCTTTTTTCCCTTAATAAAAGAAATCATCATTTAAAAACTGCATTTTGTATTTACTTGCATTATCTTTGTGTAATATAAAAATGTGTTTGATGATCTGAGTCTTTTAAGTGACAAATATGCAAAAAATAAAAAAAAACAGGAAGGGGGCAAAAACCTTTTCACAGCACTGTATATATATATAAATAATATGTGTGTGTGTGTGTTTATTTTATTTCAGACTCAAAGGTCCAACACATAGTTGTTGATTTATATCTGCCGTCACGTTTTTTCCAACCAGACAGGAAACATCAAGGCTGTTAAAAGTCACAGTCAGTAGTTCATCCAGATAATGACATACAAAGTGGGGAATGTTTTCACTGACCTTGTTTAGTCATTTTTCAGGCAACATTTAACGTTGTTCGCATCATTTGTGGTCCCTTATGTGCTACAAAGCATTGGGAGGAACTAGTGCAGAGATCAAAGACAGCTTTTTTTAGTTTAAACTTAGTTTAAACACCCATCTTCCACAATAATTAGAATATTGAATAAAAAGTAATTAAAAAGTAGAATGAAAAATAAATGCTAATTCAATTTAGGGCTGCGTATCACCAGCAAAGTCACGATACGATACGTATCACGATACAGAGGCCACGATACGATACGTATCACGATACATGACTGCACTGAATTTCACCTCAGCAGAATTTAGAAAAACAGCCGTTTATTAAACACTGCTTACCATAGTGCCATTTCTAACTATTGGCAGAGCGGGCAGCTGACCTTTGCATTATGAAGGGCCTCCATAACTGTACCACAGTACAATATACAGGGTGTCCGCGGGTTCTTAAAAAGTCTTAAAATGTCTTAAAATAACGTATTGCTAATATAAGGCCTTAAAATGTCTTAAATTCAGATTCGATGGGTCTTAATTATTTTTGGTCTCATTACCGCTAAAATATCTTCAGTCTGACGGACATAATGACTTTACAATCATTGGACAGACCGAAGATTTTTTTCTTCCCCGCGGTAAATTACTGCATCATCAGAGAGAACAACAGAATACAAGCACACATAAACTCACATAAGGTAAAAATTCAAAATGTTTAGTTAATTCATAACATGATATAGTTAAATAACACCAGTTATTTTGTGGGGATATTTTGTATGGAATAGTGTCTGCTGACATGAAAAGTTCATTGTATATCATAGTAATAAATACCATTTATTACAGCATTGATATTTTGTTTTCTTTTTAATTTATACACATTAAATATTACATATATGAATGTAATAAAATGTGTATTTCCATTACAGGTTTAGGTCTTAAATTTCATATAAGGTGGTCTTAAAAAGTCTTAAATTTAACTTGTTCAAGTCTGCAGAAACCCTGAATATAGGTAATTGCATATGTTTCATGTTTACATTGTGCACTCCCCACCAGGTACAATATTCTGATTGTTTGCATCTTGTTTTTAAACCCATAAATAATAATGTACTTGTCCTAATAAATGTATAGTTTAATGTACTCATTCTAATATGTTTAGAGGTAGGTTATCATTGCACAAATGAACACACTCTACAATAAAAAAAAAATTAGAAGAGTTCTAAACTAACGTGCTGTCTTCACTGTATCTAACGCACACACGCTCAAGGCTGATTTATACTCGACGCGTCCGCAAGTTCGCTTAGGTGCGCGCGACGTCGTTTCGCGTGGCGGTGTGCACGACATTTTTTTTAAGTTTCTGTGCAGCTCCGCTTCCGAAGATGCACGAGTTCAAAGCGACTCTAGCCGAACATGCACGTCTGTGCCAGCATTTGTGTGAAACAGAAGCAGTTTGGTGTTAAGTTCAGTCATACACACAGATCACGCTGCGGCCGAACTCAGACATTCAGGAACAAACCTTTTAGCGCTGCCCCGCAGTTTTATCAACTAAATAGCTTAATCGCTCAAGAGCTACATTATCTTTCTCAACAAGGAGCTGGTAGCATCATTGTTTCTAAAGGAATTGAAGCCATAGCTTTACTGTTAATAGAGAAACGCTGCAAAACGGTGGTAATTCATACATACACAGCCTCTCTCTCTTCGTCGTAAATGAACGGTTGATGAATCACACTTTTCTGAGAATAGACTTGAAGTGGAGATAGCTAAACTGCAAGCTAAGCGGTGTATTCAGAAATCAAGCAATCCAGTGGAGAGAGAGCGCGTGAGCACAGGGTTGCCAGGTTGACAAAGATAAGTTGCACACTTAGCAGATATTTCCGTATTGCGCAAGTGTAAAGCTCTGTTTTGGGGATTACGTCTCTGTATATCAGGCAACCCAGTTGTGTTCCTCTGCGGCCAGATTATTAACAGATGCTCTATTCATTCTTTTTTAGAAACCTCGCACTTTTCTACTCAATTTTAAACGTAAAATTAAGCGTGGTCCACTGCTGCACACGTGCCACAGTATCGATACAGGGCCAGCTGTATCGATACTCGTATCGTCAAATCTCTGTGACGATACATCGTCGTATCGATATTTTGAACACAGCACTAATTCAATTAGAGATCTTACTTTTTGACACGTTATTATGATTTGCTTAACACAGAACTCTTAAACTGATTTTTGCACAATTCAAGCATATCTTTACCCTAAAATGTAATACATGAGATGTTCTGTTAGCCAGAGTGGCGGCTTCTACTAGTTTCACCTTTCGGCCAAGCATTTACCGAACATCCACCAACATTTCCATGCATCCCTAGTGTTGTGAAACAAACAAAGCCTTTATCTTCCCACTCCAGGATTGGCCATCACAGCACTAGTGACGACAGCTCTGCATATCGCTCAGTCGACGAGGTGAACTACTGGGACAAGCAGGACCACCCCATCTCTCGCCTGCGACACTACATGACCGCCCGAGGCTGGTGGGGCGAGGACGAGGAGCGGGCCTGGAGAAAGCAGTCACGAAAACTCGTCATGGAGGCTTTTGAAAGAGCCGAGAAACGTCTGAAACCCAACCCCGAGCTGCTGTTCACTGACGTCTACGATGAGATGATTCCTCCTATAGCCAAGCAGAGAGATGCCATGTGGCGGCATGTCCAGCAGTATAAAGAGCATTACCCACTTGATCTCTATGAGAAATAATCCATGAGCCGTGGACACAACTGTGAAGTTCCTTGCACATGTCAGTTTGTCTGAATAGTTTTTCTTTTTCCATTTCTACATTTGTATTGAATTAGAAAGCACAATTAGTGAAAGATGTGTTGTTATCCTCCATATTTGCCACTAGAGGCCTCCGTACTGTCATTTTGTGCCTTGGAAAATGATGTAAAAGGAGTTGTGAAAATCGGTTGAAGGTCTTCTATACTGGCCTAGTGTAGCAAATGTTCTCATTGTTCTAACAGCCCATAAATACAGTATCATTACATTTGGCATAGTGCTATCAATCCATTCACTAGAATTTCTTTATTTAAAGCATGAACATCTTGAGTGATTCCCCTGATTTTTTTCCTTGATACTCTATGAAGAACATTAAGTGTTCTTCATTCAGTATCTTTAAAATGTGGGTTTTCAAATCACTGTAAATGTTCAGAATTGGTTTCTCATTTCTCCACAAACACTAATACTCATTACAGGTGATGTGATTGTGATACATGCTTTGTGAAAAGGTCATTTGTGTGTATTATTACCCTCAGACTTTCCACTCCAAACTGAGCTATTAATACAGTAAGTACTCTTACTGTAATAATAAATGGTTTGCGTCCTGTTAATTTCCCCCCACAGATGATAATGTTAATAAGGACATTCTATTTAGCTGTGATTTTCTGATTGTTAATAATGAACTGAACAAACTTTCTGTGTGAGACTGACTCAACTGTTACATGACATGATGATTGTTGTGTTTGAGATTTATTCGGATTAGCTTTAGGGGTTTGTAAATTGTATTTTAAACAATAAAAAATGCTCACAAAATGTAATCACTGATATAGTGACGTGCTTACTGAACGTAGACTATAATAAAATGTATAGTCTTGAGGCCTATTTTATGTAGAGCACAGAGGGTTTAAGTACTAATAACTGCTGGCGATTGGAGCATTATGCAGACTAATAATGTTCAGCGTGTTGTGAAGGGTTCATTATGAATGAGGGTTGAACAAATTGGTAACTTTAATGCAGAGGAATACAAAGTAAATTGGAGGTCAGTGAAAAGGGATTTTTTTTCTGAATATTTCCTACTCGGTTTTATGTCTTAAGCAGCACAACTGTTTTCAACATTGATGAGATTTTTTGTTTGTCTTTTTTTAGCACCAAATCAGCATATTAGTATGATTTCTAAAGGATTGTGTGACCAGTGTTGGGGAAAGTTACTTTTAAAAGTTATGCATTACAATATTGCGTTACTAAACTTACTTTTTATGGAAAGTAATGTGTTGTGTTTCTTTTGAGTTTCTTTTTAAATCTGGGCAGGGCTTGTTTGTTTTTAATATAAAAAAGTTATTTTACAAATGTAAAGTCCTTTCACACCAAAAGTGAAATCAAAGCCTCAGGCTGAAGGAAATGTAAGTTCATGTCTGTACAGTAGAGGGCGGCAGGCGCAATTCAAACAAATTGCATGAATATGACGCAGGAGAAAGTTCTACACTATTCAGCAATAACAAAAATGAAACACAAATGTGTCATTTTTGCTTAGTATGGTTGAATTGGATTATCAAAGGTCAGTAGCAAAGTCATGGGTTAATAAAATGGGATTAAACCCTTACGAAAATAAACCATGGTTTTACTACAAATTAAACCAAAAATGTCTCGGTTACATATGTAACCCACGTTCCCTGAAGGAGGGAATGGAGACGTCACGTCGGTGACCGACGAATTGGGATCTCGCTTAGAGAGACCAATCCACTTTGAGTGTAAACTAAACGAGCCAATGCACATTGGCATGCAATGACTGCATCCAGCTGCCGCTAATCACAGCGTGAGCGTAAAAAGGCAGCCTGTGCAACGCATACCAGGTTTTCGCTGAGGAGCCGAGCCGGTGACCCGGCCGCTCAGCGGTGGTACAGGACGTGACGTCTCCGTTCCCTCCTTCAGGGAACGAGGGTTACATATGTAACCGAGACCTTCCCTTTCAGTTGGTCATTCTCGACGTCACGTCGGTGACCGACGAATTGGGATCCCTACCAAAGCGCTATTGGATGCTGCCACTTCCAGTGTCCTGTGCGAGCTGTCTGCGCCTCTTTTTGGTGTAGGCCGGGGCTCACAACAAGAAGACCAGTCACTGTTGTCATAGCTCTATCCACTCAGTGAAATTGGGTAACACTGGGAAAACGTACCCGTTCCACTTGGAACAGCCTGGCGCCGAACGTTCCGCCACGTCTGGCTGCCGAGGGGATGGAGGAGCTCGACAGGGTCTACAGTACGGACACTCTGGAGCAGTTTTATCAAGCCGACACTAAACCGGGGCCTCTCAGTGCCTCTACCCGTTTGAGGTGAGAACACAGGAGGGCCCATAGCCGCATAACCTTGGGCACATAGCCGGGCCGGGACCTCAGGATTAACTGGGAGTCAGCCGGCCCAATTTCTAGGCAAGAGTTTTCATTGAAAGAAACTTTAGCTTGAATGACTGCAAAGGCTGAAATGGGCCCTGATGTAGCGCTTTGAGCACTAGAGACAGGTCCTAAGAGGGTATAGATGGGGGCCGGGGAGGATTTAACCTTCTCGCCCCCCTAAGGTACCTGACGACCAAATCATGGTTCCCTACCGACTTCCCTTCCACGGGGTCATGGTTAGCCGCAATCGCAGCAACATAGACTTTAAAGGTGGAGGGAGACAGCCTTCGCTCCAACCTTTGCTGCAAAAAGGAAAGCACGACCCTGATCGGGCATTTCCGGGGGTCTTCTCGGTGAGAAGAACACCACTCGACGAACAGGTTCCACTTCAAGGCATAAGCGTGTCTCATAGACGGTGCTCTCGCCGAAGTGATGGTGTCAACTACCTGCTGAGGTAGGTTACCTAGAACCTCCGCGTCCCGTCCAGGGACCAGACATGAAGTTTCCAGAGGTCTGGATGCGGGTGCCACAAGGTGCCCCGTCTCTGAGTCAGTAGATCCTTCCTCAGAGGAATCTGCCAGGGAGGGGCTGTCACGAGGAGCATTAGTTCGGGGGAACCAGGTCCGAGTGGGCCAATACAGCGCCACCAACAGGACCTGTTTCTCGTCCTCCCTGACCTTGCACAGCGTCTGTGCGAGAATGTTCACTGGGGGAAACGCATACTTGCGCAGGCCATGTGGCCAGTTGTGTGCCAGTGTGTCCGTGCCGAGCGTTCCCTATGTCAGGGAGTAGAACAACTGGCAGTGAGAGGTTTCTGGAGAGGCAAACCGGTCTACCTGAGCGGCTCCGAAACGTCTCCAAATCAGCTGGACCGTCTGGGGATGGAGTCTCCATTCTCCTGGGAGTGTAGCTCATGACAGCTCGTTGGCTGTACAGTTGAGCAGACCCGGAATGTGAATGGCACAAAGTGACCTGGAGGCTGGAGGGACCGGCTCTATCATGTCCTTCGCCAGCGGAACCACTGCCGTGCCCGCAGTGGGGCAGCGAGGTGGAATGCAGGGACCCAACTCGGGCGGCTTGTGGGCGGATCAGAGAGGGGTCTGAGTGTGCGGTGAGACGCACTAGGGAAATGGCCACTTGCAGCACGACAGGGGGTAGTGCAGCCTGAAGTGCACAACCCACTCGACACAGGAACGACCACCGCTGAAGCGCCGTCCACCAACACAAGAAGCTCCCTAGAGCACGCTAGACTCATCACACACGAAGCAGTTTGGTAGGAGCAGAACGATGTTGTCGCACGGCTCCAAATCGAAAAGCTGGTATGCGTTGCACCGGCTGCCTTTTTATGCTCACGCTGTGATCAGCGACAGCTGGATGAAATCATCGCATGCCAATGTGCATTGGCTCGTTTAGTTTATACTCAAAGTGGATTGGTCTCTCTAAGCGAGATCTCAATTTGTCGGTCACCGATGTGACGTCGAGAGTGACCGACTAAAAGGGAACCATGGTTACTATAGTTAAACCATGGTAACCACAAATTAACCATGGTTTTGCTGCACTAACCATAGTTTAACCATGGTATTTGTAGTAAATCCATGATTAATTTTCGTAAGGGAATATATAAATGATATTTGTCTTATTTAACATATTTAATAATTGCAGGTTTGTATAATATTCTGAGTTTGCATTTGACTGTTTTATTGATTTTGAGGAATACTGAATCTGTTTTTGTGCAGGTGAGATGAGTAAATACATGTTCATATTTAGTCTAGAACTACAGTAACATCATGTTCACACAGCACGCACAACGCCTCTGCACTTTCTCCCGATTTCTCTCAACATGCCAACACAAGAGCTGTACATGGGAAACAAAGTAACTGTCGTTACTTATTTGAAAAAGTAACTCAGATATTTCCTTCTAAATTAAAAAGTATTGCATTACTTTAATTACTTAAAAATGTAACTCCGGTTTCTTGTAATGCGTTACCCCCAACACTGAGTACGTTTACATGGACAGCAATAATCCGATTTTAACACGATTAAGACAATAATCTGATTAAGAATCTACCATGTAAACAGATTTTTAATTACCTTAATCCGGCTAAAGTCATATTCGAAGTAAACAGAAATCAAATTAAGACATGGAGTATTCCTATTTTAGTCGCATTACTGAAGTGCAGTATAGACATGTAAACACCTCAATCACATTATTAACGTCGTGTTTGACTTTTCGCCGCTTTTTGCGACAGGATACACACATGGCAGTGGTAAACCGTTTGATGGAAAATAAAAGAGCTTCATCACCGCCATCGTCTGTATGCATGTACAAATAATTAACTGCACTTGAAGCTTTCAGAAAATTTAAAATGAAACACCCAAAACTGTACATGGCATCATCACGAAGACCAACTATATTTATACTTGAAATTCTGGAGGGTACGTCGGATGGCGTCACGTGGGGACGTAATGTCATGTGCCATTAATCGAACTATGCACTATAACATGTAAAACGGGAACATGAAAGGAATATTCTAAAAGCAATTCATGTAAACACCATAATCATAATATTGGCTTATTTAGAATAAGGTAAATAATAAGATTACTGATGTTCATGTAAACGTAGTCATTGTGACACTGAAGACAAGTTTTTTCCTGTTCCAGGAACCCCTTGACATAATTATACAATAATGTAAAATGCAAATCATAATATCTACAGTTTTATCAATTGTGCTATTCTGTCCTGTAGGGGATGCAATCGTCACAATACATTTTTGACCCTGTTTTTATGTTACATTCAACATGATATTAAACTCTCAAACCAATTACACTCACACAAAGGTCAAGGCTGTCAGAGTCCATTTTAGGCAATTTGCTCATAGCGGTTCAAGTGAGCTCCCTCCATTTATCACTCAAGTAATCACTGACCTTTTGAGGGGGTCAGATAAATTTCATCGTCTTCTAACAGTAAAGCTAATGTATTCCTAGATTTTTATATAAAAGATAACAAATATCATCTCCATTTACTGTAAATGTTTGAAAATTGAGCTGAATCGAGGTCATATCCTCGCAGAGTATCATCAGTTCACCACCAAATAAAATGTATAATATGCAGTAGGCTATCTGTATTTTAGATCAGTAGTATTCTTGGCTGTCCCTAAAATGGCTTTTTGCAAACATTTCCCTAGTTTGGAGCTATTAGACTCTTCTCAGTATATTTTTTATTTATTTTATTTTTTATTATTATTATTCATTTTTATTTTTTGCAGTTTACGGTAACAGGCCTTGTATAACCAACAGATGCAACATATTAGATACTGTATTACTGTATTAGATATTGTACATATTAGATACTCTGAGTAAATCCCTCTCATCTTGAACTACAAAATGGTTGTGCAATGTTGCATTGAATGAAATGTGATAGTCAGAATGTG